TAAAGAGAATGATGGGAAGGGTATATAAAGAGAATGATGTATAGGTTATATAAAGAGAAGGATGGAAAGGGTACATAAAGAGAAGGATGGAGAGGGTACATAAAGAGAAGGGGGGAGAGGGTATATATGGGGGAAAAGAAAAAGAAACTGAGCTTATTTAAAAATTTTATAGTTGAATTTGAGTTTGCTTTAACAGCGTAGGTTCAAAAAAACAATTACTGTGGGGGCATATTTTTTTCAAATTTTCTGAGAGAAATACCTATTTTTTAACGATATAGACCCCTGTTAAGGACTTCTTGCCCACCCCAACATGGGGGGGGGGGACAAAATTTCTTAAAGTTGGGTATGTCCCCCCGCCTTATTCAGGCTTGGGGGGCCTGGCCTCCACACCCTCCCCCCCCCAATTGGGCGCCTGAAGTGGGTATTATAAATTGAGAAGGATGGATGAGGTTATATAAAGTGAAGGATGGGAAGGGTATATAAAGAGAAGGATGGGAAGGGTATATAAAGAGAAGGATGGTGACGTTATATAAAAAGAAGGATGGGAAGGGTATACAAAGAGAAGGATGGAGAGGGTTTATAAAGAGAAGGATGGAGAGGTTATATAAAGAGAAGGACGGAGAGGGTATATAAAGAGAAGGATGTAGAGGGTATATAAAGAGAAGGATGGAAAGGGTATATAAAGAGAAAGATGGGAAGGGTATATAAAGAGAAGGATGGGAAGGGTATATAAAGAGAAGGAGGAGAGGGTATATATAGAGAAGGATGGAGAGGGTATATAAAGAGAAGGATGTTGAGGGTATATAAAGAGAAGGATGGAGAGGGTATATAAAGAGAAGGATGGGAAGGCTAGATAAAGAGAAGGATGGAGAGGGTATATGAAGAGAAGGTGGGAAGGGTATATAAAGAGAAGGATGGGAAGGGTATATAAAGAGAAGGATGATGAGGGTATATAAAGAGAAGGATGGGAAGGGTATATAAAGAGAAGGATGGGAAGCGTATATAAAGAGAAGGATGCGAAGGGTATATAAAGAGCAGGATGGGGAGGGTATATAAAGAAAAGGATGGAGAGGGTATATAAAGAGAAGGATGGGAAGGGTATATAAAGAGAAGGATGGGAAGGGTATATAAAGAGAAGGATGGGAAGGGTATATAAAGAGAAGTATGTGAAGGGTATATAAAGAAAGGATGGGAAGGGTATAGAAAGAGAAGGATGGGGAGGGTATATAAAGAGAAGGATGGAGAGGGTATTTAAAGAGAAGGATGGAGAGGGTATATAAAGAGAAGGATGGGAAGGGTATATAAAGAGAAGGATGGAGAGGTTATATACAGAGAAGGTGGGAAGGGTATATAAAGAGAAGGATGGGAAGGGTACATAAAGAGAAGGATGGAGAGGGTATATAAAGAGAAGGGGGGAGAGGGTATATAAAGAGAAGGATGGAAAGGGTATATAAAGAGAAGGATGGAGAGGGTATATAAAGAGAAGAATGGGAAGGACGTATATAAAGAGGAGGATGCCGGAAGGGTATTTAAAGAGAAGGATGGGAAGGATATATAAAGAGAAGGATGGGAAGGGTAATAAAGAGAGGAGAATGAAGAGGTTATATAAAGAGAAGAATGGAGAGGGTATATAAAGAGAAGGGGGGAGAGGGTATATAAAGAGAAGGATTGGAAAGGTATATTAAAGAGAAGGATGGGGAGGGTATATATAAAGAGAAGGATGGGGAGGGTATATAAAGAGAAGGATGGGGAGGGTATGTAAAGAGAAGGGGGAAGAGGGTATATAAAGAGAAGGATGGAGAGGGTATATATAGAGAAGGGTGGAGAGGATATATAAAGAGAAGGACGGAGAGGGTATATATAAAGAAGGGTGGGGAGGGTATATATAGAGAAGGGTGGAGAGGATATNACTATTTTTATGTTCATTTGAACTATTTTTATGTTCATTTGAACTATTTTTATGTTCATTTGAACTATTTTTATGTTCATTTGAACTATTTTTATGTTCATTTGAACTATTTTTATGTTCATTTGAACTATTTTTATGTTCATTTGAACTATTTTTATGTTCATTTGAACTATTTTTATGTTCATTTGAACTATTTTTATGTTCATTTGAACTATTTTTATGTTCATTTGAACTATTTTTATGTTCATTTGAACTATTTTTATGTTCATTTGAACTATTTTTATGTTCATTTGAACTATTTTTATGTTCATTCTGTGTAATGTTTATCTAATTAATTGTCATGAATATAACTTTATGGAGATTATAAAAAAAATTTTAAAACTGAATTGGGGTAGAAAAATAGTTCAAATGAGTAAGAAATGCGTTGATTTAAACTACAGGATATGACGTCATGTCAGTAGTTCAAATGAACAATAGTTCAAACGAACAATAGTTCAAACGTACCATAGTTCAAACGGCAGTAGTTCAAATGAGAATCCACCATTTGTGTGTATTGATTGATTGATAGTACTTCCTATTTACTCTGCGCTCATGCCGCCATAAATTTCAGATTCACACACAACAAAAATTTTAACCTCCTCACTCTTATCATCCGATTCTTAAATCATATCATCTTCTAGCCGTGAGATAGCTGCGACTTCCCAAAAATAGATTTCTTGAGTGAATTTTTATCGTAAATTTTTTCTTTTTTATCCCTAAAATATTTCTAACTTATTTTTCAAAAAATTTATTTTTAAGTAAGTTGATTTAAAGATGAGGTATATTCCTAGTATACGATTTTTGGACCCCCCCCCGGAATTAAGTGTCAATAAAAAAGG